TTCTAGAAGTGGAAGTAATAGCAGTGGATGGTGAAGTCACCCTTGATGTTGAAGTACTAGCTGTAGTTATGGTGGACAAACTTGATATGGACGTAGTCAATATTGATGTACTGGTGGTAAATGATGTAGTAGAAGTGGTCGTCAAAGTGGTGGAAATGACTACGGTAACGGAAGTTGAAGTCAGGCTAGTAGATACCCTGGAAGAGGGCGTCTGTGTGATGAAATTTAAGCTTATCGATGTCGTCGTGGTGGACGTGACCTTGGTGCTTGCAGTTGGCGTGGTGAGAGCTACACTGCTTTGAGATGTGTTCACTGGAGAGTTACTTGCAGTGCCTGCCATTGATGATCTTGAAGAGATTGAGCTTGGCAGACTAATCAATGTCAGACTGGTTTCTGTGGTGCTAAACAGATTGAAGCTGGTCGTTTTGCTACTGAACAAGTTGCTCATCGAGCGGGTGGTTGAGCTGCTTGTTGCCGGGGTTGATGTCACAGTACTGCTTGCCAAGCGAGTTGCCGAACTGGTCGTAGAGCTCTCCGTGGAACTGGTCAATACAAAACTACTTGCGCTTGGCGCTGAAACCACTATGCTCGTGGATGAAGTATTTTCTCTGCTGAATGATGAACTGAATGGTGGGCTGGTATTTACAGGTGTCGTTGAACTCGCCGAATCGAAGTTTTTCGTTGAAGGCACCTCAATCGCTGAACTCGAGCTCGGAAGTGTACTCAACGATGCCCTCAATGTGCTGATGGGCGAGGAGAGGATAGTCGAGGTACCAGAAAGAGAGATTGCAGCTGCCTCCGAAGAGAAGCTCGCAATTTGGCTGCTGGACAAAATTGAACTGAATGTCGCATCTTCTGATGAGAGCGGCTCCACGGAAGAGCTCAGAACTAGAATTGTTGAGGTACTGGGTTGGGTGAAGGAACCCAGACTTGTTGCGCTTGTTGTTATCAGCCCAGTGACGGATGTCGAGCTGCTTATTACCGCTGAGGATGCCTGCATAAGCGATGTCGAGAGCAGAGTGGAATATGCGCTAACAGATGCCTGCTCAGAAGACATGGAACTTGAGACGTCGGATGTGACACTGGGAGAGCTTGAAATATCTAGAGCAGATGTTGTCGACAGCAAAGATAACTGTGCCTGCGAAGACGTGACTACTACGAGGGAAGACTTGTTCTCCAGTGTCGAAGACGACTGCATGCTCGCAGAGGCTGTTGTGGATGACACTGCGTCGGTAGTTATAGATACTTCGGTAGAAGACCTATCGTACTGAGTCCTATCTGATGCACTTGGGCTTGGCGCAAATGATGCAGCAACCGAAGACACAGGAGAAGCAACGGGTGCTTCTGAT